AAATAAAGCAACTTCATTCAATTCAATTCAATTCAATTTTATATGTATAGCGCCAATTCATAAAAGAAGTTATCTCAGGACACTTTTCAAATAGAGCAGGTCTAAACCGAACTCTTTAAAACATTCATGTTTGGAACATGAATGAGTGCAGAAAGAGAGAGGAAGAGAGGAGCTCAGTGCACCATGGGAAATCCCCCGATAGTCTAGGCCTATAGCAGCATAACTAAGGGATGGTTCAGGACTCACCTGATCCAGCCCTAACTATAAGCTTTATCAAAGAGGAATGTCTTAAGCCTACTCTTGAATGTGGTGAGGGTGTCTGCCTCCCGAACCACAACTGGAAGCTGGTTCCACAGGAGAGGAGCTTGGTAACTGAAGGCTCTGGCTCCTGTTCTACTTTTAGAGACTATAGGAACCACAAGTAGCCCAGCATTCAGAGAACGTAGTGTTCTAGAGGGGTAATAGGGTACTATGAGCTCTTTAAGATATGAAGGGGCCTGACCATGAAGAGCTTTATAGGTGAGGAGGAGGATTTTAAATTCTATTCTACATTTTACAGGGAGCCAGTGCAGAGAAGCTAGTACAGGAGAGATGTGATCTCTTTTTCTAGTTCCTGTCAGTACTCGTGCTGCAGCATTCTGAATTAATTGGAGCGTTTTAATGGACTTATTTGATGCAACCTGATAATAAAGAGTTGCAGTAATCCAGCCTTGAAGTAACAAATGCATGGATTAGTTTTTCTGCATCTGTCTGTGACAGGATGTGTCTAATTTTTGTAATATTACGTAAATGAAAGAAGGCAGTCGTGGAGGTTTGATTTAAATGATCATGTTTGATTCATATTCCAGTTACACAGAAATATAAATTGTGTGTATGTTGCAAGTAACAAAGCTACAACTTTTATGTGAGTTGTGCAGATCATGTCCTCCATCAAGGTATATGGTTTCTAGTATACTGAAGTGTGAGCTGGTAATGGAGCTCTGCAGTCAGTGTTCATCTTGATGCGTCTTGCTTTGGATACCCAGACTGTCCTGATGCTGCAGCTGTCTCTGTCCTCTGAGTCCAGGAACAGCTGAGCTTCATCAGATCACCTGTAAAACATGGCAGATTCACTGATATAATACAGTACAAGTACAACAGCTTGCATTATATGTCTCTGTGAGGGACCAAGCATTTAGGCAAGAGGAGTCACAAGGAATTTCAAAAAGAAGGGTTTTTATTTTACTAAAAAAAACCATTACAAAATAAAGCTAAAGTTTGGGCCCTTTAAAAGCGGTCAACCAACTGAACTTAAGCTCTGAACATCACAAACTCAAAAATACAACTGACCTACCATAAGAGAAACAAATGGGACTCATATACTGGCTGATCAGACCAGATTTGACAAACAGGGGGAGACTAACAATAACACATGTACATAAACTACAAATAACAAAAAAAAAAAAACAACCAAACACTTATTCCAACAGAAATGTTATCTTAATTAACATTAACCGAATAAATATACTTAATATAATATAAATCAAAAGTCAAATATCTTGGGAGAAAATAAAGCTACCCCCCTCTTTTTTTTTTTTTTTTTGTGGTGTGGTTTGTTTCTTCCCCCCCTTTTTTTTTATAAAAATTTTTTTTTTTTTCCCCCCCAGATTTATATTTTTTTTTTTTTTTAAGAAAAAAAAAAAAAAGGGGGTCGGCTTGGGTGACTGAGAATCTAGTGCATAAGCGCATAAATTCCTCACCTGTTAATCGTTACTGAGGTAAATGTGGCAATTAATATCAAATATTAATGATATTGATTACAGGTGGTATCGCTCAGCCCTCAGTTAGAAGTCAGTTCCTCTTCTAAAATGTGGGACTCCCATATCCAAGATCTCTTTCTTGAGGTCTCCTCAACCCGGTCTCACTCCCAAGTCGCCAAATTCTGCCGCTTGGTCAGTGGCCCTCTGTTTCAAAATATGACGCTGTAAGTATCCCTCTAGCGTTATTTCTAGACATGCCCACCATTGATGTCCGGTGACATAGTATAAAGAGTGAGAAAGTCTGCATATGGAGGTGGTGGGGTGAAAGGAAGGACTTTTACCCGGGAGACCGCTGTTCATGTCCCTTGAGCAACCAAAAGTAAACAATTTTTTTTGAGTAATGTACAGAGATTACTCCAGGTATGTTTGTTAACTTACAGTCTGTTCCTAAACCTAACCAAGTAGTTTTTGTGCCTAAACTTTGATATCTTTATTTTGAAAATCTTTTTTATAACTAGATTTAAATACAATTGATGTGACAAATACAGTTTTTTCAGATTAAATTTATTTGTAATGCTTTCTATGTATGTATGTGTTGTAATAAACTAGAAGTATTATTCAGTAGACTCCTTCTCAGGTCCATTTTACGCTCCAATACCTTACATAATCACCTATGAGCAACACTTTCAGTGATACTGTCTGGATAGCATAATTGTCCACCTTTTTATATCTCAAGTTCAGTCTGAACCAGCCATGTCAGTCCTGTCAGACGGTCAGGTTGCTGTGTCTAGCCTTCCAGGTCCTGAAAAACTTCCACCATTGAAGAGAGCTTGATTAGACTGAGGCAGACACAGGCCCAGGGTGCCCAGGGAGTGGACCTGGGTGTGAATGCAGCTGAAAGGCAGCACAACACAAGATGAACTGAGCTGTAATGAACCTCTGCCGCTTCTCCCACTGCCTCAATCCCGGGCCTGTCCAAGAGCTCATCACAGGCTGATCACCCCGCTCCAGCAGCTAATAACTCTGCCGGGGCTCCTCCAGCCCTGAACTCAGGCATCATCTCTTCCCCAGCCTACCATGATGGACATGAAATAAATCTGCTGTGATGGTGGGGGAGGCAGATTGTGCCAGGCATGAGTTGATTAATTGATTAACTCAGTCAGCTCACCAAAAGCTTATCGTTCCAGGTGGTGGGATGCTAGAAAGTTGGTGCAGTGATGTTTGGGGGGTTTGGTTGTGCCCAAAACAGAGCTTAAACCTGAAATAAATGATTTTCCAGCAGTTATGGAGCAATATAGCTTTCATTTGGAGTAATGAGCCTAATGAATGTCACTCGCTTCAGTTCTTGCTCTCTACCAACTCCTTAGGGAATTATCTGGCTCTTCAGCTGCTAAATGCTCCATCATGTTCACCAGCTAGTTTCTGACTGTGTCTGTCTGCCACTAGGGGGTCTCTCACATCAGAACAATTTTCAGGTTTTGGACTCCTCTCAAAAATAAACAATCCTGCTGATTAAAAAGGCTAAAACCACTGAATAAAGCAGTTCCACCTTAAAATTCACTGTTTACTGGGCAGACAAAGGACGTCCTAGAGGGGCTGCAAACCGAGCTGCTGCTTACATTAGCTCAGCTTGTTTCTCTGATAACTTGAGATCCAGACGTCCAATGACTAAAGTCCTTCATCCGGTTCAAATCTAGAGTTAAAAAGCACCAAGATTTGAACAGTGGATGGTAAAAATGTGGCTTCGAACTGGATAAACAGTCAATGTTTGACAGCTTCTGGCAGACAACCAAGGGGATATAACGGTATTGACAGGCGACCGGTGAAACGAGTTTGAACATTGTTGGAAACATTTGGGATAATGGAAATACACAACTCAACTACATAAAGCATAGCTCTAGAGTTTATAAACAGTGTAATGTGGAAGTGTTACAGATTATAGCTTTAAAGGGAAGTCAATTTTATTTGTCAGGTTGCCAGAAATATAACCCCAAATAAACAGCTCCGTATCTTCTGGGTGTGTAAATAGCAGAGTGTTTGCCAGCAAAGTGCCACTTCTCTTGCTGCCCCCTAGTGGTCATCACTGATATGCCAAATGATGGCATCTCTGAGTGGCTTAGATAAGTTGAAGATCTTTTTCCCCCTGACCTTAGACAGGTTTGTTTTTCAAACTGCATAAGTTTCTTTGCATTCCTAGTCACCTCCTCCCTTCACACGGATCATATACTATACTCACCTTATCTGTCTAAGTGGTTTGAAACTGAAACTGATATTTTTTGGTTCACTTTTTGCAAATATCCTTCCTCCCTTTGTCCTTGATAGAAAAACTAAACAACACAAGAAAACAAATGAGGACATAGCTGTTAGCGTCAGACACATTTATTCGTAAAACGAACCCTTAAATTCTCATTATTAGCATTGAAAGCCGGGGTCAAATGTTGGTATTTGAGAATAAAGGTAGATGAAATAAGATTCATGATTTTAGGGGGGCATATTATGATGCAAAACAGCATGTGCAACATTAAGATCTGAAATGTCAAGGCTGTCATAATGTCATGCTGCACAAGCATATCTTTCAGCCAAATGCCACACCGAGACCTTGCATACAGATACAGAGAATCAACCGCCCACTATTAGCCTCCTCATGAGCAAATGATGAGCGGGAACTGCTTGAGAAAATAACAACAAATGCTGCAAATTGACTGTGGGTGTATGTGACTAACATCTGTGTGTACTATGTATGTTATGTGTGCCTGTGAGCATGGCAAGTGAGCTGTAGGGAGGTTGGGAGGGGGGTCACCTGTCACCTCCATCTGAATTCCCAATGAGACAGTAATAAATAAAATTGTTCCCAGTGCAGAGCTGTAGCTGTAGTTGTAGCTGTAGCGGCACTGGCAATGCTGTTATTAATGATTAATCCGCAGGGCCCTTGGGTGTACATTCTACACTGTGTCTGCAGCACTTAAGAGTAAAGCCAGCAGAGATCACCTCGACCTCCTGTCGTCTCAACCTGATAAAAAAAAAAAATACTCCCAGGAAAAGAAATAAATGTGGAGCAATGTATTCAAAGTGCTGCATAAGGCATAACATTAATAAATTAATGCCACATTAATGCCACAACAACAACAACTTGTCCACATTGTGTGGCCATTTCTCATGATATATATTACAATTAATGAGCAATAAATGCCAAAAATTGTGTCTGTCACTTATTAAACTTCTTTAACTATCCTGGAAAATGACTATCCCTATTAGTAATTTAAAGGTGTCATATTAATCCCTATTTCAACAAGTTAATCTAGTTCCCTGGTGTCCTAATGTAATGTCTGTGACATGCTTTGGTCAAAATACCATAAGGATGAAGCACAATAGCAGTTCAATCACCCTGCCAAAACAGCCCTGTTCAGAGCGCTCGGATTTGAGTGCCTGTCTCTTTAAATGCAAATGAGACACAGGTAATCCACCCACTTCTTCCAGGAGGTGTGCCGACGTCGGCACGCTCACGCTACCATGACAACAGTTGAACGTGAACCCTGGGAGAAAGATGGCAGCTGGAAGAAACTTTTCGGTCCAACCTTATATGTTTGAACCAGAGTCAGACCCTGAACAAGAAGGAGCTAGCGAAGAAGTTGTTCAATGTAGACTGCAACAAGACCTTTCTGAATGGTGAGTTATGAGCTTTATTTTACTTTTTTCTTAAAAATGTGTATGTTTGTACGTCGGGTAAATACGGTCGCTGACTAAATACAGTCGACCGCTGGCCGCTGTTTGTGTAACTCACTGCTAATAAAAATCTAGATTTCTGTTAATTGAGTAAACATAAGTAACGTTAGCATGCTATTCCCGTTACACAAGTACATTTCACAAGTCCGCAATATCAGCTACGAGTGGGAATATAGCACTCGTTTTTTTTATTCTCAGCTACGCCGTAATAACGTTACATCATTATTCTGTCCGACATCAAACGTTAATGTACTATCCACAGACACACTGTAGCCACTTTTCACGCGTGTGTGCTAATTTTACAACCTAGGTGTGAAACGAGGGATGTAGTGGGGGTTGGGGCGACTGTCTACCAGCGCTGTATACCCCATAGTAATGTCTGTTTACCCGTATTTACTGTGTTTCAACATAATGCAATAATTCCAACTAATAACGTCACATCGTTGCATAAGCTGACCTGTCGTTATTGCTAACAACATATTCAAATAAAAAACTATAACTGATATCTTTTCCCTTTTTTTGCCTCTGGTTTAGGTGTACTTGTGAGAATTGCACAACAATGCCTACAGAGCCAGAGAATGTCTGCTGCAGGGAGGTACCACAGGTAGTACATGGATGCTTGTTGAATGAAAATGTAACTATTCAGTCATATTATCTGTCATCAAACGTCACTTACCCTTTCAAATTTACAGGCGATAAGAAGACTAAATCAGCTTCAAAACCCACCTTCCTGCATGGTAGACCACCTGGCCTCGAACCAGTGTGTTTAAATGCATTCTCACTGCAGAAGGAAGTAAATATCTACAGAGCAGACTATGGGCGTTTACGTCTGAGGGGAATAGAACAGTAAGGTTTTTTTGCATATAAATTCTGTGTAATTGTAATAAAAATATTCAAAAACAATTAAATTTTCCCCTTTGTTACATTGTTTACCTTTCTTGTAAGGCAGTTTGATAATTGTTAAAATGTTACATATCAAACACTAGAAAAGATTCATTTCTGCACAAAATCTAACTTGCAATAACATAATTTATTACATTTAAACCTAGGTCCAACACCAACTTGCTGCTAATAAATGGTGGTATTGGCATTTCAATATTGTGCAGGAATTTATCTTTAATACTTTTGGATACGCATCCCACTCCTACGAACCTGTCTCTTGCTGACCATAATGTTTATGTCTACATATCAAACACTTAAAGTACAAAAAACAGCTTATACAGTTTTATTTTTATAAATACAAGTACAGCAAACAACTGTTCAAAAAATAATACAAATATTTACCAAAAAAATTTAATTAGAAATTATGTCTAAAAATAAATGTAAATGTATAACTAAATATATCTGTACTCTGTTCAGCCGTTACAGGTACTTGGCCTATAGGAGCTTTGTGAGCTGGTGTTGGGGCTTTCTGGGCCGAAGAATTCGTGTGGTACTGCCCAGCTGTGTGGTGCTGCGTATACGGGTGGAGTTCCCCAATGCTCAAGGCATCTACGTGGGTTTCAGACCGGCCCTTGACTGAACCTTATCACATAGCGGTCTATCAACTCCTTCTTGTCCGGCCTTTCAAACTGCGCAGAGAGATCCTCAGGAATGGAGATCTTCAAAACCTCATCTGTGTATTGACCAGGGTCCGGAAAAACCTTCTCAAACACCAGGTCCAAGATTTCATCTACGTAATCTGCAATACAAAAAAGTAAAATATTGTGTTTACTTTATAGTGTTTATTATTTATTAAAAACATAGAAAAAGCCATAGACACTGGTTAATTTATATTTTATTTATTTTACAAATATTTTATAGTTTCATTTTTCAGTGTGATTTTCAATAAAAAGGTTTAAAACTTACGGAAGGTTGGTTGCTCCTTCACTGGCTTTGCTGTGCATTCTCCTTTCTTCCACTTTGGAAAATGAAGCCTGAACAGCGGCTCACCAGCTGAGGTTGTTGCCTGTGGACGGTCTGCATTTTCATTGAAGTGCAGGGCTGCCAGGTATAGTCTTGGGAGGAAAAATAATAAAAGAAAGATTTACACATATAGCTCCATACCTGGCTTATTTTGGTGTGGCTGTATGTGCATACGAATAATTGTAATGATAAAAAAAGCCCCTCTTTACCTGCACAGCATCCCAAGTAAAGGAAAGACTACATTCTTGGGCGCAAAGCGTAGGATGACGCTGTGAAAAGACTCAAGCGATGAGGTTTGGTAATGAGGGCTCAGCTTCCCCACATCTTTGAGGACCCTCTTGTTGCTCAGCACTTTCTCCATCCTGCAGAAGGCTGATGTTCCTGTGAAAAAGAAGAAAGTGTTTAATAATGTCATTAAGTAGAGTGACACTGCCTAAACATGATAATGTGTACATACCTGTTGTCAACCATTTGCTCTTGTCCCTTGAAGTGCGGGTTGGATGCAAACACTGGGGGAAAACAGGATCTTCGTGGGTGTGGATGTCCCGGACGTGGTTCAGAATGGACATCCACTTTGCTGTTCTCTCTGGCACCGATGTAGAGGAAGCAGCCGTCCAGTAGATGTGGTTTTTTTATACTGTGAAGCAACTTCTTTAGTTTCTCACACTCCTTGTTCTGTGAGATCTTACACAGTTTCCTTGGACAGTCCTAATAATACAAAAAGCTTTAGAGTCTTTCATAGAGCGTATATTAATTACATAGTAAACCACCATATTGCTTTGAATTAACATAGCAGAAATTACATAGCTTACAGTCTAAATTGAATAAATAATAGGTTGGAACACATCAATAACTATGTCAGTGTAACAATAAAGGAACTACAGTTATCATAAATAAACTTTTTTTCCCTCTCATGTTGACAAATAAGACACGGAATAATACCTTTTTCCATGTGCCACACATCGTAGTAATGCGTGACATCGGCCTCCCTCAGGAACTTCTGGATTTGGGGGTGACGGTCCGTCACAATACTATCTATAGTAACACCCCGTTCCTCCAACAGAGCAAGGCTCCTCTTCAGGCCCTCTTTCTCCATGTGGTAGCTTCCACCAACCTCATTACTCTATTATTTAAGAAAGCAGATAAAAATGTATTATTTCAGCTGATAAGACCTACACTGTAACAGATTACAACAGAGATTATTTATGGTCTGTCACTCACTTGAACCAGCTGTAAATCAATAACAGTGTTGCTCCTCATGTCCATCATTGTGTAGCTGCCAAACTTGGCACAATGTCCTTCAAAAGTAAAGTAATTATTTTTTATATATACATAACATAGTATTTATCAGTGTGTTTTATTTATTTTCAAGTAAATTTGTTTATATATAAAAAAGAATATTATGACAGAGTATTACATACCTGGTGAGTCTGCTCTCAAGTCACCACCGAGGACGACATTCTGCTGCTGACTGAGCTGCTCCAACATTGCAGTCTGTGCCGTCTTCCACCTGTGTACAATCGCGGGCTCTATGTACATCCCAGCATGCCTTCGAAATGAGTCATATTGAAACATCTTCAACTGCATTGCCCGGAAGATCTGTGGGAGAAAGAAACAGACAGGACAGGCACCCACACGTTAATCACTTTTTCAGAAATACACATTGTGTATATAAATGTAGCTACATCATATGCTATATTCCATTACTTTATTCATAGTTTAGTGTAAATACAATACCTTTTCAAGCTTAAAGAAAGAGGCACCAGTGGCGTACACTGCAGTGGAGAGCTGCAGGTTCCCAGCAGGACTGCTCCCAACAAGAGGCTTGCTGTTCCACTTTCTGTAGAACTCACAATGCGGGCACCGTTGTTCTACAGAGAGAAACGTGCCCAATCTTCTTTTCTGCATGTCACATTCCCGCTGACACACAGGGCACACCTGAAACAGCTCCATTAGGCAGTTCTCATACACAATATAAGTTGGAGTCTTATGGACAGGCGTAGAAGATTCCTTTCTGCAATAAAACCAAAACATTGACAGAAAATGAGTCAAAGATCGTCCTAGTAGAGCTACAACAAGTAGAGGAATGTAACACAAATGATTAGTTAAATGTTTAGGTAACTCACGTCACATCTGCTGACTCAGTCAAGGTTGTGGCAGAGTCTGCAGGGTCATAAGTTGAATCGTGTGGCTCTTCTACGTCAACAGAACTGCCTTCTAAAGGGTTCTCCTCTTCCTCCTCCAGTTCCAAGCAACGTCTCTTACTTGGTCTCTTTATAGGTGTTGATGTAAGAAACGGCAGAAGAGCTGAGGTGCCAACACCAACATCAGTGCAGGAAACAGTTTTCTGTGTGCCTTAAAAACAGACAGATGATGTTATTGTTGTATTGTAAGCAGTCATATTGTTACTCATTAACAGAACACAAACAGAAGAAATCCCATCAACGAATGAAGTAACTTTTGGTCAACTAACCTGTACTTCTGAAATGAGGTTGGAGAGTCTTCATTGAAAGCTGTGTTGTTGGTGGGTCTGTCTGGCATGCCACATGATGTACCCTATCCAGCAGTCCAGATGTGCTTGCCTAAACACAAAGAGCAGTGATATTTATACTCCAAAAATACAGTAAAAGCAAATAACTGTCTCTTGTTGATCTATTTGTTTCTTGTGATTTTATTATTTCACATTGAACAATAGCGTCCTGTTATTGTGCCCAGCTAGTTCAGTTTAAAACAGACACTGTACTGTAGCTCTCCAAAGTGTGTTGTGCGACAGTAATCATCAACCATGATGAACACAGTGCGCCATATATGACGTTAGTTCTAGCCTCGATGCAAGTTCTTAGTAGTCAGTAATACCTGGAACTGTCTCAGTCTTACTGGAGATATCACATTATAGTACCCGCCATTCTGAATTAGCTCGGACCTTGTTTATATTCTGGTTTTTGTGTCGGGGCGGGCGACAATACACATCCTTAGAACCGACCGCGCTACATCGAAACCTAATATAGTTACTTACTTAACTACTCCCTGTCTAACATGTCTAGTGCAGCTTAACAAAGGAAACAGCTGGTAAGGCATGCCGATGAAATTACTTTTTGCATTGCTGCAGTTTGTTCGGTCGGAGGTTAACGTTACCTCTCTGCTTATTCTAGCAGCGACACACACAAACATAGTAACAGTTACTTACTGAAAAGCATGCACATTTACCAAAATACAGACGAAAATAAAGCTAGTTGTGGCTTAAACCCCGAAGCTCACAACAGTAACTTCAAGTCCCCCCTGCACAACGCTAACGGCGGCCGTGGCCGTGGCGGGGGAGGGGGGAGAGGGGGGTTTACCGGTAATTAACGGCATAAACTTTGTGTAAATCTCTATAAAAAATTTGCAGCAGGGAAAAATATGGAGACATCTGCACCAGCTGGCTTAAATGAACCTCACCATATAAGTTTCATGTTCATCTTGCACACAGTGTCAAACAATAACTACGTTAGCGTCACTGCGGCTCCAGCAGCTAAAAGCTGTTAGCATTAGCTAACATTACACCAACAATGAAAAACAAAGCATAAATTCTTAAAAATACTTACAGTTTCTGTGTCTGTCGTCTTGCAACGGATAGTTGGTACTGCTCCCTCTATCAGCAACAGTCTTTTGGCCAGTTCCGTACTGTACTGACCGAGGTTCTTAAAACAGTCACTGGTGAAGTGGTTCGCACACACCAACAGCTTTTTGCTGACTCTAGCCGGAACATTTCCATTGTAAATAAAATTAATCCACTGGACTCGTATCTCTTCTGAGACGGGGATAGCACAGAACATTTGTGTTGCTTTTCCTGATGCACGTCTGCTCGCTCTCTCGCTCTGTAGGGACAATGGCGGAGCACGGATAGACAAGGCGGAGTAAGCTGAGGTGGGTGGCAACAGGCAGGTGAAAGGTTGGAATATGCTAATGAGTGCAGCAGGTTACGTCACAAACTACATACCTCTGAAAGTTCGTGATTTATCTCCTGTATTGTGACTGAGGCAGCCCACAAAAACATGACTGAGTCATTTTTTTACAAACTTTGCCTGCTGATAGGCCCTCCAGATTCCCAAATGTACATAATAAAATGATTAAAAAGTTGGTTTTGCATAATATGTCCCCTTTAATTGTAATGAAGCTGTAGTTGGTATAACTTAAAGGTGCAGTGTGTAACATTTTGGAGGACCTATTGGCAGAAATTGAATATAATGTGTTTTCATTAGTGTATAATGACCTGAAGATAAGAATCATTGTGTTTTCGTTACCTTAGAATGAGCGTTTTTTATCTACAGAGGGAGCGAGTCCTCTTCTACCGAGTCTGCCATGTTTCTACAGTATCCCAGAATGGACAAACTAAGCGGCACTAAATCCTACACACTGGTCCTTTAAGCTGCAGGAGGTAAGTTTATAAAAATGACCTTTTGTAATATTTTTTCTGAAACATTCTTGCGTCGCTTTTACACATCATCAAATACCGACGCTCTGGGTTGGTGGCTTAAAACTCTGTGACCCTGTGCGTAGGTACTTGACAATTACACTCTACAATTAACTATCTTTCTTGGCTTTGTTTGTTTCTTCGCGTTCAGGCCTGGTTGATTCTTGCATTCTTTTTTA